CCTCAGAAGGAAGATGGGGCAATCTACTTCTGTAGTGATATGGCCTCGGAAACCCAAGCAGGGATCACTATGAGCTGGGTCTGACTCGAGGGCACATAACAACAACAATAACAGTTCCTGAGTACCTCCAACAGTTAAATGCTCTACCACTAAATGAAAGCTTGGCAGTTCAATCCCAGCCAGAGATGTCTTGGAAAACAGACAAAGCAATATGATTCTGAACAATCACAGCCATGGAAACCCTATGGAATACAGTTCTATTCTGCAACACATGGGGTTACCATAAGTTGGAATCAACTTGATGCTAGCTTTTTTTAGGGAGTTAATTTAAATAACAAAAAATAAACATTGTAAAGATCTATCTATTCAACAAAATGTAATACAATAGAATATTTGTATTTTTGAATTACAGTATTCCATCTTGTTCCTTTGTTAAAAAATAAACCTACAAATGAAATAAACCTACAAGTTTGAAAATAATTGCATTCGCAAACTCCCAATCTCTTATTCTGTAAGAATATGATTAACTTGTGTATTACCTATGCACTAATCTCATTTCCAGGAGTTCTGGTGGCATAGTGCCTAAGACATTTGACTGCTATACAGAAGGCTGGTGGTCCAAACCCACCAGCCATTCCTCGGAAGGAAGATTGGGCAATTTACTCTCTAGCAATACTGTCTCAGAAACCCAAGTTGGGGTCGCTATGAGTCGACTTGTCAGCAGTAGGTTTGTTTTTTGGTTTGGATTAGATGGGGTGGACACCTACAGCAGACTCGAATGGCTAGTACCTGAGTAACCTCACCCTCGGGACTCTGCCATACTGAAGGACTGATTGTTAACGGCTTTGAGACTGGTGAAATGATTGGGGGTGGGGATTAATCCTTCTAGTGTAAAAACGTTAATGGCTAGAAGAGCCAGGGGGTGGCCTGCAATGCAGTGAATTGCTTAATATGGCCCTTCTAGCCATCATCCTCCATTTTGTGATGTGCTGTAAATCTTAATCCCTAGGGAGCTGTCGTTTCTCAGGCAGTATCACTATGGAAGTAGATTGCCCCATCAGCCACTCCTCAGAAGGAAGATGGGGCAATCTACTTCCATAGTGATACTGCCTCAGAAACCCAAGGAGGGGTCGCTATGAGTTGGGTCCAACTC